CCTTTTTTGAAATAAATATTTTACTTGGGGCTCCTGGGTGGCTGAGTCCTTAAGCATCTGCCTTCGGATCAAGTCATGGTCCCAGGGTCCTGGGATCGAGCCCCACATCGGGCTCCCTGCTCGGCGGGAAGCCTGCTTCTCCCTCTCCCAACTCCCCCTGCTTGTGTTCCCTCTCTCGCTGTGTCTCTCTCTGTCAAATAAATAAATAAAACCTTTCTTAAAAAACATTTTACTTTAAAATGAATTTAGATTAACAGAAAAGTTGCAGATATAATACAGAGACTTCCTGGATGCTCTTCCCTCATCCTCCCCTAATGTCAGTACCTTAGATTTCTATGGTACATCTGTCACAACCAAGAAGCCAGCACTGGTACGTTACTATTAACTCAACTCCAGGCTTTATTTGGAGTTCACTTTTTTTAACTGACATTTTCTTTGTTTCAGCAACCAATTCAAGGGACCACATTGCATTTAGTCTCCTTAGTCTCCTGTGGTCTGACAATTTCTGTCTTTCCTTCTTTTTCATGACCTTGACAGTTTTGGGGCGTACTAGTCACTTTTGTAGAATGTCCTTCAACTGAGGTTTTTCTGATGTTCTCTTGTGATTAGCTTGGAGTTCTGGGTTTGGGGAGGAGACCTCAGAGGTAATGGGGTCTTCTCTCTCTCTCTTAAGATTTTATTTATTCCTTTGAGAGAGAGAGAGAGAGCACAAGCAAGGGGAGAGGCGGAGGGAGAGCGACAAGCAGGCTCCCCGCTGAGCTGGGAGCCCGATGCGGGGCTCGATCCCAGGACCTGGGGTCATGACCTGAGCGGAAGACAGACGCCTGACAACCTGAGCCCCCCAGGCGCCCCTGATGTGGTCTCCTTGCGTCACAGCAGAGAGACATGATGTCAGTAGGACTTATCACTGGTGATGCTGACCGTGATTACTTGCTTAGGGTGGTGTCTGCCAGGTTCTTCTACTGTAAAGTTACTATTTGTCCTTTTTCATACTCTGCTGTTTGGATGCAAGTCCCTAGATCCAGCCCACACTTGAGACTTCCCCCATATTTTAATAGTAGTGTCTACTGCAGATATTCTGTCCCTGTCTCATTAATGTATATTGTGTCTGTAGAGAAAAAGAACTTGTTTATTTATTTTTTTAAAAGATTTTATTTATTTATTTGACAGAGAGAGACACAGCGAGAGAGGGAACACAAGCAGGGGGAGTGGGAGAGGGAGACGCAGGCTTCCCGCCGAGCAGGGAGCCCGATGCGGGACTCGATCCTGGGACCCTGGGATCACGACCTGAGCCGAAGGCAGACGCTTAACGACTGAGCCACCCAGGCGCCCCAAGAACTTGTTTTTTTTTTTTTTTTAGTTCATGGGTCTCTGCACTGAGGACCCACACAGCTGGGTTGCACCCAAGGAAGGATACCTGAACAACCTCATTTGCACCTGGATCTGACTTAGATGCAAGATCCTGGACTTGAGGTCTGAGCTGGGTGCTGTGATGGGATATTGGCAGCCTTGGGAGAGGCCAGAGGGTGGACTGTGGTGGACTGCCTACATTCATGACCCCCCTATAAAACTCCTGGTTTTCATGTACTTGGTAGACCTTTTCCACACTGACTATGGATTTGGACATGTGACTTGCTTGGCCACTGGGACATTAGCATGAATGATGCATACAGAGCCTTAATGGGAATGCGGCCCACTAGGGCTAGTCTTCTTGGAAACCAGTAGCAAAATAGTCTCCTGAAAGATGAGACACCACTTGAAAAGAGGCCCCGGAGGATGGGCGTTAACTTGGACATCTGGCCCCAGCTGAGCTCCCAGCTATACAGCCACATGAGCAACACCAGCTACATGTGTGGACAGGAACCACCCAGCTGAGCCCAGCCAGCCCACAAAACAATGAGTAAGTATTTGCTGTTTTACGCCCTTAAGTTTAGGGTGGTTGGTTACATACCAGTAGAGAACTGAAGCTCCCTGTTCTTTGCCCCTCAGCTCTTGTCCTCACACTCTGCCTTCCCAGCTCAAGTCCCATAGTCCAAAATTATAATCATTTCCCCGAACCCCACACTCTTATAATATTGTCCTTACTAATTCCCAGCCCTTGCTAGACCAAACTGTCTTCCTACTCCATACCTGTATCCGAGCAGCAAAACTTTGCTAGAGAAAAACATAAAACCACACTCACTCGTTCTTTAAATTTACAACACACGGGGCATCTGGGTGGCTCAGTCGGTTAAGTGTCTGTCTGCCTTTGGCTTGGGTCATGATCTCAGGGTCCTGGGATTGAGCCCTGAGTTGGGCTTTAAATTTTTTTTTAATTTTAAAAAATTTACAACACACATCTAAAAGTGGGCTCTCTATGCAGCCAGAAAATCTTACTACACTTTCTTTATCCAGTTTGTCTTCCATTCTCTGGGAAGACTATTTCACACCTTGCCTTTTCTTTTTCTTTGAAGCTTCCGAAACCACACACCCCACCACCCCTTGAAGCTAACAATCTTTTTTTTTTTTTTAATTAGAATTAGGGGCTTGGCTACAAGCATTAGAAAACTCCAGATAACAATAGTGTAAACCATAGAAGTTTTTCTCTTTTGCAAAGAGTTGAAAAGCCATCCAGAGTTGGCAGGGCAGCTGCAGTCTTCAAGCTCTACAATTCTACCTTGTTGTTGTGCCCTGCTCAACTCATTCATTCTGCCTCATGGTCCAAGATGGGTGCTTGAGCTCCAGTCATTGTGGGTGCGTTCTAGGCCAGAGGGGAAAAAAGGAACTGGCAAAGATAGGCAAACCCCTCCCTTTCAGGACATGTTTGGAAATTATACATACCGATTCTTATATCACATTGGCCAGGAATTCGTCTCAAGACCACATATATCTATCTGTAATGGAGGCTGGGCAATGCAGTCTTTATTCTGTGGGACCATATACCTAGTTAAACGTGGGGGGACGGTTCTTTTTAAGGAACAAGTGGAGGATGGGCAAAGAGATCCTGCTTGCAGTCACAATGTGTTTCCAATGCTCTCCTCTTCTGCCCAGCCAAAAATTTGTTCCTGCATCACACCCTTTACACTTCCCATCCCCTTGCACAGGTGCTCTTCTCCAGAGCTCCCCATGGCCCCCAGCTCCTTATCAGCTCAAATGCTGCATCCTTAGAAAGGTCTACCCTGATCCCCTAGCTACGGGGATCCCCTCCCCCTTCCCCGCCACTTTGGCAGTATACAAGTTAGCTCTTCAGTGTTTGTCCCTCTTAAGGTTGTCAGCTCCAGGAGGGCAGGAAATTTGCCTTCCTAGATGAAACTGAGTCCCCAACCTGAAGCACGGACAGATCTGAGCATCCAGAGCCCGAGGGACTGGCATGTCTTTCTAACCCATTCAAAGCTGACGGCAGCCCTGGTCTAGCTCAGGCAAAAGCCACTTACCCAACTACCCTAGCCCATGGCCTACACCTCCCACTCCTCACCTTCCACCATAACATTGTTCCTCAACCTGTCCCAAGCCCACCACCGCCCTGTTCACCCTCTCCAGCCCATCCCCTGGTAAAAGCAGGGCACTCTCAGTCTTGGGATAACTTGCACCTTATCTTCTGAGGGCAAGAAGACCCTACACTTGTGCCATGAGTAATAATTGCTCCCTGGGACTGCCTAAAGCAGTTCCAGCAGCTCCTGGATCCTGCCTGAGAAAGGCAGGGGTGTCTGTGCACCCACTGAGTTTGGCCAGCCTTGGGATTGGGTATTGATCACAGAGTGACTCTGAGCCATGGCAGGACCAGACTCATAGCATGTGACCTGGGCAGTCATGCAGGACCCCAAGCTCAGAAGAGCCCATACTGGGTTTTGTAGTTGCTGTTTGTTTGTTTGTTTTTAATTAAGTAAACTCTACCCCCACTGTGGGGCTCGAACTCACAATCCTGAGATCAGGAGTCACATGCTCCACTGACTGAGCCAGCCAGGCACCCCATACTGGGTTTAATGCTTTAGTGTCTCCTGGAAATTCTTTTTTAAAAAGATTTTATTTATTTATTTGAGAGAGAGAGCGCGCACATGTGTGCAAGTGCAGGGGCGGGAGGGGCAGAGGGAGGGGGGGAAGCAGGCTCCCCATTGAGCAGGGAGACTGATGCTGGGCCAGATCCCATCCTGGGATCAGGGACTTGAGGGAAAGGCAGAGCTTAACCCACTGAGCCACCCAGGCGCCCCCTTCTGGAAATTATTCATAACTTTTTAGCAGGAGACTGCATTTTTGTTTTACTTGGGGCCCTGCAAATTATGCAGCTGGTTCTGGCTCCAGACACTCATTGACACAGTGCCCAAAGACCTGGGTCACCAGCATGGCCCTGAGGGAAAATGCTGACCAGGAGAGCCACATGGTCAGTCCAGTTGCCACTCCTCCTGAGTCCCCAGTGGCCTGCTGCCCTCTCTGCTCCCACAGTGGTTCCCGGTACCCAGATCGTGGGGACGCCCCCTGGACAAGGGAATATGGGACTGGTGTTCCAGCAGGCCTTTAACCCTGGCCTAAGGCTCTGCAGCTTATTCCCTAGGAGCATGGCAGCTGCCACTCTGGGGACGGTCTAGCCCAAGATGTGCCCCCAGGCACAAGGCTGGACCTGTGGCTGTGCCCCATCCCACAGCTGACTGGACCAGGAACTGACTCAGACTGACCAGATTCTGACTGCTAGATGCCGCTCATTGGTCCGCACTTCCGAGGCCGGACAGGACCAGGTAAATGCTGCTGACCGGGAGAGGCGGCGAGTCCCACACCTGCCAGTGATGGGTCCAAACGCCTGGAAGGCTGCTGCTCCTGACTCACCCTGCTCCTATCCCCACCCCCAATCTTCCAACCCAACTCCAAGATCTGCTCCCTGAGGCCCTGGGAGGTGTGCACTGGGGGGAGACCCTGGAGCCCGTGCCCTCCCCCCCCCTCCGCCCCGCAGAGGAAACACTCGCCTGGTGGCAAGAGACAGCTTTATTGAGAGGGAGACTACCAGTGGGGGGAAGGTGAGAGACTGGCGGGGAAGGGAGAATGCAGTCCCGGGGCGGGGGCGGCCGGGGGTGGGTGCTGCCTGGAGCGTCACACGTCCAGGTCCGACTGGGAGATCCGCTCGTCATAAGCGCCCGTCTTGCGCTGCACGATGCCCGGGCTGAAGGTGGCCCCCAGCGGCCAGTGGCGGACTACGTGCCGGTACGACGTGGCCAGGTAGTCAAAGTAGTTAATGTTGAGCTTCCGGGCAATGTGACGGCCCAGGTATTCCGTCTGCTGTGGGAACAGGTGGCGGTCAGGAGACCGGCCAGTCCTGGCGCTCTCTCCACCAGCTGCCAGCGCTAAGGCTTGGGCTGCGGCCCGCGCGGTGTTCACGCTCTGCCTGAGAAATGGTCCCATCCTAAGCCCCTAAGCAGTGGCAGGCCTCCTGCAGAACCGAGCAGGGGAGTGGTGTGTGTCTGGGGCCGCAGGGCGGACTGCAGCAGGACCCACCTCATAGCGTTCCGACAGCTGCACCAGCACCAGCGGCTCTAGCTTGTGGCCGCATAGAACCAACTGGAAGAAGCACCTTCCATAGGCTGGAGAGGGGAAAGCAGCTCAGCTTGGGGACTCTGGGGCCCGTGGGGGCTCTGGGGAGCGAGAGCTCGGGGGCGGGGGGGGGCGCTGGCTCTGGGACCAGGGCTGGGGGGGCAGGGCATACGACTGGCTTGCCCGCCACCCCCCTCCCACCCCCCATGTTCCCAAGCTGCTTCCTGGCACACCCTCCCCTGCTTCACCGTCAGAGCTGAGCGCCAGGCGCACGTAGACCAAGTGCATAGGGCCCTGACACACGGTGCGGCCCTGGATGGAGAAGTGGTATGTGCCACGCATGTGGTTCAGCACCAGGCGGCGCCGCGGCAAAGACGAAATCATGAGCCACAGGCCAACGCCCACGCCGCACGCGGGGAAGCCCCACGTCTCCTGCTTCAGCACCTGCGGGAGCCACGGGGACCTGAGCCGCCAAGGGCGTGGGGGTGGAGCACCGAGAGGGGGGTCCAGCCCCAAGAGGCCGGCCGTGGGGGGCGGGCCGCGGAGCTCAGACCTGGCTCCCAAGGCCGAAGCTGACGAGGAAGAGGCAGACGACGAAGAGCAGCGCCCCCTTCCACAGCGTGTCCAGGTAGTACTCGAGCACGAAGACTGCGGGCAGCGTGGCGGCGGCGCGTGAGCGCAGCTGGTCCCTGCTCGCCGCCCGAGGTGGCAGGGGCCCGCGCTCGGTCGGCCGCACGCACACGCACGCAGCGCGGGGGCACCTTCGGCGGCCCTGGCCCCGCCCCCACTCAAATCAGACCCCAGGTCCAGGCCCCTGCCCCACCCAAGCAGGATTTTACCCGGACGGGGGGTGTCAGACAGTCGGCCCCCGCCCCGCCCCCGCCGCGTTCTGGTTCCGGGTCCACGCGCACCATTGGGCTGCTGTTGTGTGAACGGGTAGAAGCTGTTGTTCTTAAGGCGCTTGGCCAGGTGGCGCTCGGTGCAGAAGAGTCCTAGGGCCCAGAGCTGGAAGCGCTTGCCGCCGGAGGTCGTGGGCAGGCCGCTAATGCGGCCCTTGGGGGCCTGGGTTAGGAACAGACGGGGTCAGCTGGGCTGCTGGAAGGTTGCCACCGCCCAGGGCTCACCGTCGCACTGATACCTGGGGGAAGAAAGCCTCCAGGGCTGCGGTCCAGGAAGGAGCCGCCTTCAGACAAAGGGCGGAGGAGAGACACCAGGTGGTGGTCCAGGCTGGGCGAGGCCTGGGTTCTAGAAGTTCTGGGCAGCGGGTTCTAGAAGGGGCTGTTGTGTTGACTACTCCTTCTGCGGGGACTCCCCAGGCCTGGCCCTGAAGTGAGCACGCACTTCCCTGTGAGTCCCCACACCACCAGAGGCCCCCTGCATAGCCTGGTTCACAGTCCTCACGGGAAGGGAGGGTGGCAAGACATCCCAGGCCTAAGCTGGAGAGAAATCTGCAGGCAGGCTCCCCACACTGAACCCCATGGCTGAGCAGGCCTCCCCCGCCCCATCACTACTTTTGCCCAGGCAAAACTTCAAACACAACCACAGACAGCTCACTTCAGTGTCCCTGAGGGCAGGATACACACACTCAGTCCAGGATTCACGCCTAGCAGTGAGTGAGCAAGGCATGAGCACAGGCAGCCTCAGGAACCCTGGGAGCCCCCCCCCCCCCCGGCCAGCTCTCTGCCAGGTCTAGCGGGGTTCCCTCAGGTCCAACACCTGTACTCATCCCCCGCCTAAAGGACCACGCAGAGCTCCTAAAATGTTTTATTGTAACAAAATGCTCAAACATCCAAAACGCGAAAAGGGTGGAGGGTGCTGCTGGCTCTCTGAGGGTCAGGGGTCTGGGACTGCCTAGCTGGAGGAGGGCAGGCTGGTGAGCAGCTGCTCCAGGCACCACTGGACTTCCTCCTGGCCTCGGTAGGCCCGCTTCAGGCCCCGAGGAAGGCAGCGGCAGGACTCCAGGTTGAGGTAGAGCAGGCCTGGGCAGCTGCTGATCACAGAGCTGTAAGGGCAGGGCAGGCCATGGGGACTCGAGCCACTGGCTCCCAGAAGACCCCGGCCCTGGCAGGGCTAGGCCAGTGTAAGGAGCCCTCTCTGCCCAGGTGCCGCGACTGGCTCTGCCACCCACAGCCACCGAGGCCCAAGCCCAGTACCCGTGGTGTCCCTAAGGGCCATCCTAAGCAGGGGCTTGGCCAATATGTGCTCCCCTTTGGGACACCCAAAGCTTGCAAGCCAGGCTTGTCGGGGAGGCAAGCCATACCGACTCCAAGGGACTGGGGAAGGGGATGCTGACCTGACCGTGCTTGGTGTGACCCGGGTGCCCCTGAGGTTGACAGAGCACAAGGCTGGGGGTGAGCCCCCAGGAGTGGCTGAGAAGGTAGCTAAGGCCTGCTCCAAGTCCTTCTCGCTGAAGCCCTGGCCACTCAAGTCCAGCTCCCGCAGAGTGTGGCGCCACTTCTGGGTCAACAGGTGGCTGCCCTCTTTGGCTAGAGTCAGCCGGTCGGACATGCCATAAAGACCCAGGTGAAGCTGCTCTAGCTCTGGAGGCGAAGAATGGTCATGAGCTGTGGGGCGGGCAGGGGGTACCCACATCCCTCCCACCCAGCCACCATCCAGAGAAAGCTGACCCTGACATGGCAGATCATGTAGGCCAGCAGGTGTGATGCGGGCGCAGCCACGGAGATCCAGCAGGCGCAGATGAGGGGAGCCGTGGAGCAGGCGGCCCAGGGCCTCATTGCTGACAAAGCTGCAGGTGCAGCCAGCGAGGCAGAGCTCCTCAAGGCTGGGGAAGCCTGGGCCAGGAGTCACCACTCGCCCGGGAGGCTTGGGCAGCCACATCAGGTTCAGCAGCCGCAGCACCTGGAGCAAGGCCCAGGCTGCAGATGGGGAGGGAGGGTGGCAGGTGGGAGAGGCGGGGTGTCAGGTACCTGCAGCTGGGGGCAGCCCTTCTGCAGGGCCTCAACAGGCAGCTGGAGAGGAGTGCTGTTGCGATTGATGCCGGTGCTCACCTCCAGGACCTGGAGCTGGGGGCAACAGCTGCCCTGCAGAGGTGGAAGAGAACACAGGCTCAGTGGCCTGGCAGGCCCTGGCTCAGCATCTGGCTCTGCTTCTGCCTGTCACCAACCTACCAGCAGTGCCCCCAAGATGGCTGTTGTCTGGGAGCTGTAGGTCAGCCACAGTTTGCGCATTCGGGGCCCTGCCTCCTCCAAGAAGTTCACCACGGCTGTGGACTCCACCTGGGAACGCAGCACATGTGTACTGGTCACTTCGGCCCAGGCTTCTTCAGGACCCCTGGGGACACAGGGCTCACCATGGAGTGCTGTATATCCAGGCTGTGGAGCTGGGGGCAGGCTTTGGCTAGCATGACCAGGGTGTCAGGGGTCACACCATGGCAATCAGAAAGCTTGAGGAAGGTGAGTCGAGGACAAGACTCGCTGACCAGCTGTGGAAGACAGAGCACCAGCAGAGATTGGGTGTCTGTGGTCGGCAAAGGAAAGAAACCAGTGGCTGACACCGAACCCTCTCTGCCTCAGCTAGGGCCTCCTTTCTGCCCCTGGCGGCCAACATGGGAGCTCCACTTCTGACACCTCCCTGCTGAAAGAAACTAACAGGAAAGGAGAACCAGGCAGGCATCCCCATGGGGCAACACTGGGCTCCAGGTGCCTGACCCACTCCCTGGAAGTACTGGGCAACCCCAGTGTTGCCACTGGTGTGCAGGGCAGCCTAGAGCTCTCACCTTCAACACGGGGTGTACCTGGGACTTCCAGTGGATGAGGGTCAGCCTCTGGAGCTGGGAGAACCTGGGCCGAGGGCAGAGGGAGGGCTGCATAGTGTCCCCTCGCTGCCCCTCTGTCGGCGTCTCCCCCACCCATCACTTTGGTATAGGGAGACAGAAATGGGCCTGTGGCTTTCCACAAGCCACAGAAGTGAAGTGAGGGCCTAGAGAAAAGAGGGAATGTCTCACCGATTGGGCATAAGCCACTCCAGAGAGTCGAGAACCTTCTTCTCGGCCTTGGCTCCGCTCTTGGCGAGGCGGCCAGCCAGCGGGGGCGACAGGGTCACGGTGTGCCAGAGCGCGGGCTGGGAGGCGGCCTCGTGCCAGCGGCGGCACACGCGTGCAGCCCTGGGAGAAAAATCTCTGCTGAGGGGCCGGGCCTTGCGTGGCCGCTGCTGCGGGGTTTTCTAAGAGGAGAGACCTGTCCCCTTCGTTTTCACAACGCTGCGGCCACCTTAGCTCAAACGCAGGCCCTGGGGGCTCTAACTGGACCCCCTGAGAGACTGCGCTCTCTCGGCTACGCTCTCTGCCCCCGCCTCAGCTGCCCGCTCGGTGGGCAAGAGGGCAGCCTGAGCCATGCTGCTGCGCTCGATGGGCCTGCGGTACCTGCCGAGGAAAGGCATGGGCCCATCGGCCGCCACCAGCAGCCCGAAAATCTGCAGCAGGATTTCCAGGGGGATGCGGTCGCCCCAGCCCGGGTCGGGCCCCTGCTGCGGCTCCGGAGCGGGCGCAGCTCTAGGCCTGGCCTTGGCGGCCGAGGCGCGGGACGCGGGGGGCAGCAGCCGCTGAGTGCGGCGGGCGGCACGCCTCTGCACGCGAGTGCGGGCAGGCCCCGGGCCCGGCAGCACCAGCAGCATGCTGTCCGACTGCAGCAGGTGGTACCCCGAGCCGCTCGGCGCCAGCTGGTCCCACCACCAGTCCTCGGCCGAGCGAGCCCGCGCCCCGGCCGGCAGCGCGCCCCGGACCCTGCGCCGGGCCCGCCGCGCCGCCCCGGGAGCCATGGCTCGCAACCAAGCTCCACGGCCGCCGCGGTGTATCGGGAAAGGCGAAGCCTCCGAGCGGAGGCGGGACCTGAGCCCCAGGCCGACCCCCTCCGCGCAGGCTCCGCGCTCGGCTTCCGGGACGGGACTTCCGGCGATGGGCCATGTCGGGGCCTGGCGGTCCTGCGGCTCTCTCCAGTGCCGGGGACCTGGCCTTCTCGCTCGGGCGGAGCCGCGTGTCCCAGCCCCACCGGCCCTGCGCTGAAGCCGCGCTGCTGCGCGGGAGGCGGCGCCCTTGTAGGGTGGCGAGACGACTGGCTGTCGGGCGGGGAGCGCGCAGGTGCAGGATCAGGAGGCGCAGGTCCCCCAGCGCACCCGGCAGCTCCTCGCCGGCCACCCGACGCAGCGAGGGGCGGCGCCGGACCCATCCCTGCCCCCGGAGCCCGACTTCACTCCTGCTGTCCGGGGTCTCGCTGAAGCCTCGGACTCCCACTGGGAAGCAGAAGCAGCAGAGGTGTGCGAGGTGCCGTAGCGGTGCCCCTGCCCCGGAGTCCGTGTCCGTTTTGGGGTGAGGGTGGTGGTGGCCTCAGCAACTCAGACCCGAAGATGGAGTCCCTCTTTCCTCATTTTGCTCTGGGGTCGGGGCTCTTTGGGCCCGGCTTCGCGCCTCTCCGCCTGCAGACCTAGCCGTGCTGTTCGGTATGCTTGGCTCCTGTCATCCCCACACCCTACCCCCGGGCACCCTCCGGGTTCCCTGGTCTAGGCGGCCGGGCCCCCTTCTGATTCCGGTTCTGTGTCTTTGACTTGTGACCCCGCATCCCTGTCTGTTTCTTTCAAGGCAGGAGAGGTCTTCAGTTCCCAGTAGAGCTGAAGCGTTTTCTTTGGATCTAGGTGTGGGGAAAGAGCAGCGGCCTGTGACCCTGACCTGTTCGGAAGGGCCCAGCCTTGGGCTGAATGGCAGCACCCCCACTGGGCCGTCTGGTGTTGACCCACCTGCTGGTGGCCCTCTTCGGCATGGGCTCCTGGGCTGCCATCAACGGGATCTGGGTGGAGCTGCCTTTGGTGGTAAAAGACCTTCCCGAGGGTGAGTGGGAGTGCGCAGGGAAGTGGGGTTCAGGTGTGCCAGGTAAGGCGGGTTGCAGCTGCTCATCGTCCCTTCACACCCAGCCCTGACATGGCCTTCTCCCTTCCCTGCAGGCTGGAGTCTCCCGTCCTACCTCTCTGTGCTTGTGGCAGTGGGGAACCTGGGTCTGTTGGTGGTGACCCTATGGAGGCGGCTGGCTCCGGGCAAGAGCGAGCGGGGCCCCATCCAGGTGGTGCAGGCACTGAGTGTGGTGGGCACAGCCCTGCTGGCCCCACTGTGGCACCATGTGGCCCCAGTCGCAGGGCAGCTCCACTCCGTGGCCTTCCTAGCGCTGGCCTTGGTGCTGGCCCTGGCCTGCTGTGCCTCCAACGTCACTTTCCTGCCCTTCTTGAGCCACCTACCACCTCCCTTCTTGCGCTCCTTCTTCCTGGGTCAGGGCCTCAGTGCCCTGCTGCCCTGTGTGCTGGCCCTCGTGCAGGGCGTAGGCCACCTTGAATGTTTGCCATCTCCCACCAATGGCACCCTTTGGCTCCCCCACAACTTCCCAGAGCGTTTTCCTGCCAGCACCTTTTTCTGGGTGCTGACCGCCCTTCTGGTCACTTCGGCTGCCGCCTTCCAGGGTCTCCTGCTGTTACTGCCATCACCACCATCTGCATCCACAGCGGGTCCAGGGTGTGGCCTGCGGGCGAGAGCCCCGGGAGTGGAAGAGGCGGAAGAAGAGGCCTCACCATTGCAGGAGTCACCGAGCCAAGCCGCAGGCGCCACTCCCAGCCCAGACCCTGAGGCCCATCGGCTGCTCTCTGTCCACGGTGCCTGCCTGCTGGGCCTGCTGGCCATCACCAACGCACTGACCAATGGTGTGTTGCCTGCTGTGCAGAGCTTCTCCTGCTTGCCCTATGGCCGCCTGGCCTACCACCTGGCAGTGGTGTTGGGCAGCGCTGCCAACCCCCTCGCCTGCTTTCTGGCCATGGGCGTGCTGTGCAGGTACACAAGGGTCCCCAAGCTACTCGGGGCAGAGTTTAGGGATGGGGGCTGGGTCCTGGTGCAGCCAGCCCTGAGTTCCTGCTCACCCCTGTAGGTCTCTGGCAGGGCTAGGTGGTCTCTCTGGGCTGGGCATGCTCTTTGCGGCCTACCTGATGGCACTGGCAATCCTGAGCCCTTGCCCGCCGCTGGTGGGCACCTCTGCAGGGGTGGTCCTTGTGGTAAGTACACTGGGGACACTGAAGCAGAGGGTTGCAGTGGGGAAGGGGTTTGCCCCCATAGCAGGGAACACCTCATGCTCAGCCTGCTGCTGTGTCCATCCTCCCAGGTGCTGTCGTGGGTGCTGTGTTTGGGTGTGTTCTCCTATGTGAAGGTGGCCGCCAGTTCCCTGCTGCATGGTGGCGGCCGGCCAGCATTGCTGGCAGCTGGTGTGGCCATCCAGGTGGGCTCCCTGCTCGGTGCTGTCGCCATGTTCCCTCCCACTAGCATCTATCACGTGTTCCGCAGTGGGAAGGACTGTGTGGACCAGTGTGGCCCCTAAGCCTGGGCAGATGGGGAATGTGATGTCAGGCTGAGATGCCACAGCGCCCAAGTGCCCACAACCCAAGGAGGCCCTCCTCGCATGCTCATGGACACCTGTGCACTCCACAGCAGATGCTTGTGAGGGTGGGGACCACAGAACAGTCCCAGAACCAGGGCCCAGCTAGGGCTGTGAACTTGGCCCCAGATCTGGAACCTGTGTGGGATTTGCACAATAAATCACTGTTATTCCATGGGTCCGAGTACTTAACTTCTGTAGCTCCTTTCTCTGCGCAGATAGATCTCTCCTGAGCAGCCCATACCTGCCCCAGCCTTGGGATAGCAGTGTGGGCCTTTGCTTGGCTAGCATCTGCAGGGAGCAGAGTCTTAGCACTGACTGCAGCCTGAGCTGGAGTGGGTGGTTCTCCTGCAGAAAGGGCTGGAGGGAACTGAAAGGAGTACCTCAGCCAGGCAAGGGGAGCAGCAAGGACTCAGGAGAGGGTATTGGACGGAAGCTGCAGTGGGCAGAGGCTCAGGCTTCTGCCACCTCCTCTTGGCCTCTGGGGCAGGCCAGAAACAGAGGCCCACGGGGGACCTAGGCTCTGCAGGGGAGGCAGGACACCCGAGCTGTGATCCAGTATGACTGGCCTGGCACTGAAATCCTATTCTCACAGACAAGGGGCCCCATTTCTGCAGTGGGGAGCCTGCTGCTGCAAGGGTCTCACCCAAGTGATTGTGGGGGCTGGGAAAAGTGGCTCCTGCCCTGCCTGCCCCAACCCCTTCCCAGAATTGTTCTGGTTCCGGATGCCCTTTTTAAACTTCAGAAGCTGCCTGTCCTTGAGTTGACCTGCACATGGGCCTTTGAAGGTCTCCTCTTTCCCCTGCCCTGGCAGGAGCAGCTGAGCAGGAAGGTGGGAGAGACCCCCAGGCCCTGACCACTGGAGCCTCCGGTCTGGGGCTGCATCAAGTATTGGGAGGGCCCAGGCTCCCAGGTGGGTCAGACATAGCCCCGCCCTGAACACAGGAGGCCACCTGCCAGGTCCCAGGCTCCCAGGATGCTGATGGCCTGGAGAAGGAGCAGGGGCAGTGGAGGGTTCACGTGGCTGTTTGCCTTTGGGAGTCCGAGCTGGTAGGTGGAGGTGAGCTGCGGAAGCCATCTTGGTGGTGGTGAGTGGAGAGATTCAGAGGGAGGAAGACAAGGGCATGGGGTTGGAGTGGGTGCTGTAGCCATGGGCCTTGGCACACCCTCTTCCCCACATACACCCTCTGCCCTCATCCTCCAACAGCCCCCTCCCTTGCCCACCCTGGGTCTGGAGCTCATGGAGCCGGCTCCCAGTTCTTGCTCTCTCTTCCGTCGGGCAACGATCAAAGGCATTTACAAGAGCCTCATCTCTGCCCACATACGCATTTGTGCCAGGCCCAAGGGCCACAGAGGAGTAAGACCCTGTGGGACATGCACAGTCTCCTGGAGAGAGGGGGGCAGGTGGCCCTGAACCTGGGGGTCAGGGCTGGAAGTGGACAATTTGAGGAAGCCACTGCCCTTAGGAGCCTCAAGGGCCTTCCTGTCAGTGCGTTGTAGGAAATAACAAGGGGAGGGAGATGCGGAAGGGCCGAGTTCTTGAGAGCTGTCCCGACACACCCTTCCTACTCATGACTGCCCAGCACTGAGTGTGGTCGCCAGGGCACCCACACTTCCAGCTGGGCAGCAGGTGGCCCACGACTCTGGCTCACAGCCCTGCCCAGAGGGTCTCTCAAACCCAGGGCTGGGGGGAATTTGAAGGAGAGGGGAGGCAGTGGGCAAGGCAGGACCTTTGGCACCTGGCTGTCCACAGAGAGGACCCCCCTGGGTAAGAGCAAGACCTGGGCTACAGACCCACTGTTGCCGTGCCCCACCGCCAGGAGCAGGCCCCGCAGTCCCTCAGAACAAGAGAAGGGCCAGCTAGGGTGTGGCCTGCCACGCGCAGCTTCCTTTCCCAGGGGTGTGGCCACTTCCCCTGAGACTGAGCCTGTGCATGTCTGGACAAGCCTCACCTGGCTTTGGTGGAATGATTAAAGGCCCTGTGGTTCTCGCCTACTGGAGTCCCTAAGGAGGTGTGAATTCCAATGCGGTTGAAGATAGGACAACACCTGGATGATAAAATGGTTGTGTCCTCCCATTACCATCTGCTCAGGGGCCCCTCCCTCTCTTGCTGTGTCTCTCTCTGTCAAATAAATAAATAAAATCTTAAAAAAAAAAAGACATGGGACAATGGTCCTCTATAAGGGGCTTCCTCTCCTCCGTGGAATTCAAAGGGACCTCCTGGCTTTTGTGGCACCAGAAAATGGAAGTGTGGGAGCATCTGGGACCCTGGCCAGTGAATGAGTGCAGGTCATCAGCCATTCCGGAATCAGCCACTCTGTCCATGTCCACCCGTCTCAGGGAGGCTAACTGCCTGAGGCCACAAGGCCACTTGGACTTCCCCACTCCAAGCACTGGCCTCCTCTCCACTGCCCCTTTGGGGGAGCTCAGAGGCTACTAAGGTTCTGATGGGGTGCTAATCACAGGACCCAGTACCCCCACCCTGTTGTTGGGTGGGTGACCCAGATGATCCAATCATGGGGTCCATCCTCCTGCCCACGGTGATTGAACTAAGGGACCGTTGCTTCTATGGAGCAAATCAGGGTCTACCGTGACATCTGTCTTAGGATGTCAGTCATCCCAAGAGCTATAAAAAGCTACCCAAACTATTCCCAGAGCACACCTGAGAATGAAGGCTCCCCAGAGGCAAGCAGGGTGAGAGGTGGAGAGAGGCAGAACCCAGAATACATCCTAGGATCGCCTGGATCCAGTGGCATCTGAAGCTAGATCTTTGGACTTTCAAATTATGAGGGTCCACAATTTCTTGCTTGTTTAAGCAAAGGTGAGTTGATTGCTCTCCGTCACAGCCGAGGCACAGTGAAGCATGCCTCCCTGAAACATTCAGGACAGCTCAGACCTTAGATGGACCAGTGCTGATCCATCTTTTCTTGCTTGGGGGAGAGTCAGTCATTCTCTTGGCAACTCTCCCTGTCACCCTCCCAATGCCTTTTCCTCTCCTAGGGGCCTCCACCTCCAGCTCCTTAGCATAGTGCTTCTCTGACCCACTCCTGACCTGCAAGGGGGAGTTCCCTGGGCATCAGACCCTCTCAGAAGAATGCCCAGGTGGGGCGCCTGGGTGGCTCAGTCGTTAAGCGTCTGCCTTCGGCTCAGGTCATGATCCCAGGGTCCTGGGTTCGAGCCCCGCATCGGGCTCCCTGCTCCGCGGGAAGCCTGCGTCTCCCTCTCCCACTCCCCCTGCTTGTGTTCCCTCTCTCACTGTGTCTCTCTCTGTCAAATAAATAAATAAAATATTAAAAAAAAAAACCCAAAAAACAAAACGCCCAGAGCCGGGCCAGGCAGGGGGCAGGCAGGAACTTCCTAGACGAGGTCCCGAGGTCCCATGGGCTGCTCTTGGGGGAAGTTCTTCTGTGTGTGCATAACAGTATGAGCATTTTAATTTGGTGAAAGACAAGCTGCAAACAACTTTGAAATTTCCATCCTTTTGCAAAGGCGGTGGGAAAACTGAGCTAATTAAAAAGCAGATTGGAAAAGATTTCCTACCCGGCCCCTCCTGACACCCCTGAGCCTCCCCAGATGTTTCCTTTGTTGTTGTTTTTTGAGTAGGCCCCACGCCCAGCGCAGGGCCTTTAATTCAAGACCTGAGATCAAGACCTGAGCCAAGATCAAGAGCCCCACAGGCACCCCAGAATGTTCCCTTTGTAGAGTCATTCTGTGGATGGCACCCTTCTCAGAGTGCTGAGCGGGGTGGTGTGGCTGCAGAGGGCCGAGCACCAACTCTGTACACAGATCTCCGGAAAGGCGGGCTACCAGCATGGGGAAGGCAGAGAAGGGAAGGTGTTCATACCTGGACCAAAGAACACAGACAGGAAAAGGAACCATGTGCGCAGCAAAGCCAGGGGTCTGGAAACCTCCACTGAAGAGCAGAGATAGTGAGAAAGGCCCCTGTGGTGAGGCCACTGTGGATCCTCCAGGGGGCCAGGGAGCTGGGGTGAGCTGGTGGCGAGGCAAGTGCGGGGCTGGGAGCCTGGAGCCAGTCATCCCCTCCCGCTGAGGTCTCCACATGGAACAGGGGGCAGGCTTCACGTTTCTTGAGGGTCCACTGTGTTGAATGTGCATGGCCTGGCTGGCTGGGTCCCTCTTCAAAGCAGTATCATGGCACCTGGCTCCAGGAGTCTTGACATGAAGAACATCACACTTCTTTATTTTTCTGAATGAAGAGTCACCAACCCTCTCCCCTCCACCCTCCAAGCCAGAGGTCAGCCAAGCTCAGCCATCACTGGGACTGCCCTCTCCCTGGATGTGCTAGAAGCACAGGGGCTCTGGGCAGGGTGGGAGGTGGTCTGGCTTCCAGTCCTTGGGAGCTGCCATCAGAGCTGGTGCTGGAGCAAACTGGGGGGATCTCAGAGCCAAAACCTTGAGGAATTGGGGCCTGAGGATGTGGCTGATGGGGACTAGGTACTGGGGTAAGAGGAGATAAAGCTTGGGATCTGGGGAGGTGGGCTGGGACAGAGCAGAATATGGTTTTTAGGGGGACTGGGAATCCTGGGGACTGAAAATCGTGGCACTTAGGGGATGGGGCCTGGGATGTAAAAAGTTTAAGACTGAACGAGCAGAGCCATTTACTGGTGTCTCTAAGGAGAGCTGTGCTCTGTGTAAAGCACATCATCCCAGGGTCTCTGATTCATAAGGTTGGTGCCTCTCATTGTCTTCAAACCATTTTACAACTTTGTGTTTGTAAATAACTAGTAGCAATGTAAATGATTGTTTTCCACAGACCTGAAAATGAATGCTGCCCCATGCAGGCTCAGCTGATTTCCTTCCTCCAGTTGTGGAAGAAGCTGGTTTTGTATCCATTCGTAAGTCAATTCCAGCAATCCTTCATTCTGCATAGATCTGTGATTCTTTGACTTCTTTGAAGCAGTTATAATATTCCTGAATCTCTTTTAAAGAATGACTTAAATAGAATCTTTGCCATGTGTTCATTTTATATCTATATAAGAATTATGATACTGCCTTTTTCTGAAAGTTATCCTGTAACAGCTTTGGAGGCTTTCCACCAAGATTGCCGGTGGCTCCCTGTGACTGAGCTGGGTGAGCTGCGTTTCCTGAGTGTGCACCTCACAGGTTAAGCCCCGGCATGTCTGTTCTTGGTTTCTAGGGAGGAGTCTGAAGTGGTAAT